GTGTGATAATATTCATGTGTGATAACATTCACCTTTGATAATATTCACCTTTGATAATATTCACCTTTGATAATTTTCATGTGTGATAACATTTACCCTCGATAATATTTACCTTTGATAACATTTATATTTGAAATTTACCGATGATGATGATGATGATGATGATGATAATATAATAATTAATAGTATAGATGATGTAAATAATTATGATAGTTGTTGTTGTTGTTGTTGTTGTTGTTGTTGTTGTTGTTGTTGTTGTTGTTGTTGTTGTTGTTGTTGTTGTAATAATAATCAATATTAAGATTGACCATATAAATAATGATGATGATGATTATTATTATGGTAATAATAATAATAATTTATTATTATTGTAGTAATAATAATAATCCATAGTTTGTGTTTGAAGCTGTGATCTTGTCGTCTCCCTCCAGAACCCCATCCCGAGCTTCGAGCTGCCGGTGAACCTGTCCGAGTGGTTTCCTCAGCTCAGGATGAAGACGAAGCGTGAGGAGATCAAAGAGCTTATCCTGAAGATCCAGGCCCAACAGGACCAGGGGGAGGCTCCTCCCACTTCTCTTGAGGCTCCCGAGATCGAGGAGACGTCTGGGTCCAACGTTCAGCTGCCAAACTCACCAATCAGCCCCTAGTGGGGGCTGAACCGGGCCAGAACCGGACTGTATGCTGCTGGCTTCACTTTAGGGTGGTGGCTGTGAACTCCTTCGTGGAGCGTTGGACCCAATGAGACCGGACGTGTAAATACGCTGTCTTTGGACCGCTCAAAGACAGGAAGTGTCCTTTAAGTTATGTTTCCACAATGTTTCTGTGTTCTGGAGGTTCTGTTGGACTCTGGCCTCGGTGCTTTTATGCCGTGTAGAGAAGAATGTGGAGGTTCGTGCAGACGGTCGGTGCTGGTTGTGTCTGCTGTGTGGCCTGGACGAGTTGTCAACAATAAAAACTAACTTTAGCTGCAAACGCAGCTCCTTCGGCTGTTGTCTGATGAATCCTGGACCTTGGAGCTCATGTAGTTCTGACATATTTCAACCTGCCGTCACATTTCTAACCTTTTTATTCCGGGTTCGGCTGTTGTCCAATGAAATGCAACAGAAGTCCAGCTGTACAAAACAAACACTGGTGAAGAAAACAAACAAATAAACAAATAAACACACGAGAATGAGGGAGTGATCAGTTCTGTCAATACATTAGTCCCTCGCAACATCACGGTTTGTTTCTTACGGACTCACACTATCGCAGTTTTTCAAAATAAAAGTGAACATGACACACAGTTGGCTGATTGATGGATGAGCTGCATGATCAGCATGAACATTTTATTTAAAATGAATTATTTTAAATTATTTAGCACTTTCTGCACATCTGCACAGCCTATACTGCAGGATAAACTTCCTGCTGCAGCTGATCAGCTGATCTCTGTGCAGAACGTGGCTGAAGGGCAGCCGGAGGGCAGTGCGCAGCCAGAGGGCAGCCGGAGGGCAGTGCGCAGCCGAAGGGCAGCCGGAGGGCAGCGAGCAGCCGAAGGGCAGCCG